CCTTAAATTTCAGATCTTTCACTTACCCATCTCTTTTTAAATTGTGTGTTTTTATCGGCAATTACCTGCTCTGGTTATGTTTGATCAATTGGATTTTTTGGGATTTTTTGGGGTTATCTTTTGATAATTAAGGTGTTGAATTGCTTGAGATCCCGTAAAGGTCTTGGCTTTCATATTGGAAGGTTGTGTTATTGTTATGGTCGTGCTTTGACTTTTCTTTTTTGCCTTCAACTGGCTTTCATCTGTCGCAGTTTCTTTTTTGTTTTTTGTTCCTATGATAAGGTTTAAGAGTTTGGAAGTTTTATTTGGTTTTACTAATTGAATAATTCTTTCAATTGTTTACTTAATCTTGGCTCTGTCAATTTTTGCTTCAGAAAAAAAATTAGGGTTTTCACCAATGCATTTATGGTAAGCAATATGAGCTAAAAGTTGTGTCTGTAGTTCATAATAGTCACTCTGTTGTTTAATCGAGTTTATGTGATTTATTTTCAAGTTTCAGTTTTGTAAATGGTCAATATATTATTGCCTGCAGTGATAATCAACATATTTAACTGGAATTCTTTATTGAGTTGCGCATTATGCATCATGTGATATTGGATACCGTGGAGTTCACTTGTCTAGTACGTGATGCATGAAAGTTTTTCAGGATTTTTGTTGTTCCAGTGTTTTCTTTTGATAGTCTGTTTGATGAACTTAGTAATGACCTAGTTGAATTATTTTTGCAGGGTTTGGTTGAAGCCGTCTGGAATATTTCTGTTACAGTTCATAAGGTCCATCTATGTTTTAGTCATTTTCAACATATTCTTGTCAATAATGAGCTTATCCAAGAAAGTATCCCAAACAGACGCTAAATTGAGCGCCCCAAACAAAGCAACCTCTTTGAATCCAAATGCAGCAGAGTTTGTTCCATACTCCCTGAGATCATCTCCATCTGGAAGCACTAGCTCAGTGGATGCAACAGCGAAGTTTACTAGTACCGCTGGATCTCTTGGTAAAACAGTTCTAGATCGATCAGAATCATCCATTTCGAACAATTCTGATGATGAGGCTCACCAGTACTGGCGTTGTCAGCTGCCTGATGATATCACTCCTGACTTCAAGGTCATGGGAGAAGATGAATCCCAAGGTGTTAACAACCTCTCTTTAGCAGGCTTATCTATAAATAATCATAATGAATCCTCAATATTTCCTTCATCTAAGGAAAGTAGATATATGTTAAATGAGCTGCAGGAATTGTCTCAAGAACACCTTAATGGCAATATTTTTGCTGATAAATTAAGGTTTTCCAATTCAACCTACAGGGAGGAACCATCTTCACCAAGCCTTTTGAACTCTTCAGCAAAGCCTTGGGATAGGCAAATTGGGAAGACGGATTTGCATGTTAGCAATGGTCAAGAGGCACTTGTTTATGATGACAACTCTGGAAATAGATTCTTAAATGATGGTTTTGCTGGGAATTCTCTTTTGAATGATACTGATTTGAACCCTTTGGAGTTTTTAGCTTCTCTTTTTCCTGGGTTTGCTTCAGAAAGCCTTGCTGAAGTTTTCTTTGCCAATGGATGTGATTTACATCTGACCATTGAGATGCTCACTCAGTTAGAGGTTGGTTCTTCATGTAATACCTGATTTATGGTTAGATTATGGCTCATTGTAAAGCCTCTTTTCATGTTACTGTTGGTAAAAATGCACACACATGTGTTATAACTGGATCCTAGCACGTGTGATGCAATTCTTGGTCAGAAAGGCACATCTTGCTACGTAATTTGGTACAATACTATATTAAATGTGAAGAGTTGGAAGCTAAAGATATGGGGAAATATGTGTACCTTGTTTTGACAGGGAAGATCTAGCGTTCCATGAAGTTGTGAGGCAACTCTAAGGCAATCCATCTCCCTGTTTCTGATCACTGTTTCCCTAAATCTTATGGCTTATGCTTCATGTAAATAAGTGACAATTGAAATTTAATTTCCAAGTTTTTGGATATAAATATATATAAATATATATATATATATATTGTTGGTATATGATATAGTAATACAACTATCTCTTGGTATTTTTTATTTTGTGGATGTTATTGTCATCTCTCATGAGTTCATTTCTCTGACATTCGTAGTCAAGGACTTTTACGTTGATTAGATTTGCTAAACCTCCTCTCTGATTTTGTAGATTCAAGTTGATGGAAGTAGCTTCAATCAGAATTTGAGTCCAAAGACTGTGTCAGCTCCCAATCTGAGTGCAATGGAATTTCCAGCTCTTACTTCATCAAATGGCCAGAGTACTGCAAAATATGCTGCAGATAGTGTTCAAAGTGGCAATCCTTACTTATCATCTGATAAAGACATGCTAATGTTCAAATTTAGCTCTTCTACTCCATCTAGAGGATCTGTTGACTTTGCTTCAGCTGTCAGGAAATTGGCTTCTCAGGATTCTGGTATATGGAAGTATGATAAAAATGGTTCTGGTGATGCTTCCACGGGCTCTAGTAGAAGTTTAAATGTTCTCGCTAGTGCCTACAATGGTGGACAAGGGAGAGCCAACTTTAGTGATAGATTACAGAACAGCGGTTCTGCTCGGGCAGCTCCAGTTTGGCTTGAAACTGGTGACGCAGTTGGTAAATATTTATGTTTATATGCTTCAACTGTGTGACGAATTCTTTCTATTCCATGTTTCCTTTAACAATTTTGAATGGCAGCAAATATGTATTCTGAACTGCGGGAGGAGGCTCGTGATCATGCACGCTTGCGTAATGCTTATTTTGAGCAGGTGGGTTTTTGTTTCATGGGGTGATGGAGGAATTAATGAGAATATGAATGAGAGTACAATGTAATGATTTGGCTACTACCTACGTACTTCTCTGGCTTGTATACGTATGCTTTATCATACTTCTACCCTTCCATATTCTTTTAGTATTTAGTCCATAATTATGTTATTTCCTTTGTTTTCTACTATAGTTTTGGACAATCAAATTGAACATGAAGATAACTTTTAGGATGGCACCAAATTGAGTATTCACCAACAATAAAGTAAAGGAACATTTGCTTTGTGACTGGCAAAATCCTTCCAGAGCATTAAATTTTTAGTTTGCTTTGATTCAGCATTAAGTTTTTTCTTATTTTTTATTGCAATGCAATTTGTCCAGTTAACAATTTTGTAAGTCAAGTTTCAACAATTGCAATCTATCCCACTAGCTCGGGAAGAGGTGCAACATGAATCCACCCTCCTTAATTTTTGTGTATTGAGTTTAATTCTTCAAAATATAAAAAAACAGGCACGACAAGCCTACCTTGTTGGCAACAAAGCCCTTGCAAAGGAGCTAAGTGTTAAAGGGCAACTTCACAACATGCATATGAAAGCTGCACATGGAAAAGCTCAAGAATCTATTTACCGTCAGAGGTTCGTTTTCCAATTCTATCATTCTTTCTATCCATGCAGCATTGGCTTAACAAACAGAAGTATGGCCATTGAAAAGAATGCTGGTCTCATTGGTTATGAGAAGTATGAAACAATTTGAGTGGTTTAACATACACAAGTGATCGACAGTTTTCCAATCCAATTGCTTGCAGTGAAAAAAATTTTACTAGTGAGGTTCAAATGAGAGTACTACTATTTCTATGAAAAAATCTACTTTCCAAACTGCTGCAGCCTTTCCTTCTCAATCATTCACCAATAGAGGCTGTCAAACAGTTGAATGCTCCTAAAGAAGAGAGAAAAAAGAAGCCTAGGTGCTGCATTCTGGTGGAATCATTGTGATGTGTATATTGATTTTTCAGGAACCCTGTTGGTCCAGAGATGCAAGGTAATGGGAGGGGGCACCAGAGAATGATAGACCTGCATGGTCTGCATGTAAGTGAGGCTATTCACGTGCTGAAACATGAACTGAGTGTGCTTAGAAGCACGGCCAGAGCCGCTGAGCAGCGTCTACAGGTTTACATCTGTGTTGGCACCGGCCACCACACCCGGGGCTCGCGCACTCCGGCTAGACTTCCGATAGCTGTACAGCGATATCTACTTGAAGAAGAAGGCCTTGATTTCACCGAACCACAGCCAGGTCTGATTCGGGTGATGATATACTGAACCAGGGAGGTATACAAGTTTCTGACACAGTAAAAATCCATCATGAACACATAGACATTGTTGTAGTCATTCTTGTATCTGTATATGGGAGGAAGTAAGCCAAAAAAAGGAAAAGCAAAAAGGGTTGAAAAAAGGGAGAAAAAGGTTAGAGAAGTAAAGAGATGGGTTGTAGAAGAATTGTAGCATTGAAGGTTTGTGTGAGGCATCTCATCACATTAGTCAGTCAGCAGCAGCAGGGACTATTTCAGCATTACCTTTTGTTAATTTTGTACCCTAATTTTCATTTCTTTGTTAAATTTCTTTTTCATTCAGATATAACGGATAGAACTCAATTACATGATAGAATCACTCTGCCAATTAGATTCAATGCCAATTTATTTACAGCTCAAACTTCAAGCTGGTCTGGTTCACTGTTCAGTCTTGTGATTTTCATGCACATAATACTAACAACATTTGCAGAAGATATGCTGCTTCATACTTCATGTTCTTTAAAATCTGTCTCTCTTTGGAATTATTATAGGAGAACATTTATTCTTTTTTCCTACTTATTATTAGAAANAATTCTTTCTATTCCATGTTTCCTTTAACAATTTTGAATGGCAGCAAATATGTATTCTGAACTGCGGGAGGAGGCTCGTGATCATGCACGCTTGCGTAATGCTTATTTTGAGCAGGTGGGTTTTTGTTTCATGGGGTGATGGAGGAATTAATGAGAATATGAATGAGAGTACAATGTAATGATTTGGCTACTACCTACGTACTTCTCTGGCTTGTATACGTATGCTTTATCATACTTCTACCCTTCCATATTCTTTTAGTATTTAGTCCATAATTATGTTATTTCCTTTGTTTTCTACTATAGTTTTGGACAATCAAATTGAACATGAAGATAACTTTTAGGATGGCACCAAATTGAGTATTCACCAACAATAAAGTAAAGGAACATTTGCTTTGTGACTGGCAAAATCCTTCCAGAGCATTAAATTTTTAGTTTGCTTTGATTCAGCATTAAGTTTTTTCTTATTTTTTATTGCAATGCAATTTGTCCAGTTAACAATTTTGTAAGTCAAGTTTCAACAATTGCAATCTATCCCACTAGCTCGGGAAGAGGTGCAACATGAATCCACCCTCCTTAATTTTTGTGTATTGAGTTTAATTCTTCAAAATATAAAAAAACAGGCACGACAAGCCTACCTTGTTGGCAACAAAGCCCTTGCAAAGGAGCTAAGTGTTAAAGGGCAACTTCACAACATGCATATGAAAGCTGCACATGGAAAAGCTCAAGAATCTATTTACCGTCAGAGGTTCGTTTTCCAATTCTATCATTCTTTCTATCCATGCAGCATTGGCTTAACAAACAGAAGTATGGCCATTGAAAAGAATGCTGGTCTCATTGGTTATGAGAAGTATGAAACAATTTGAGTGGTTTAACATACACAAGTGATCGACAGTTTTCCAATCCAATTGCTTGCAGTGAAAAAAATGTTACTAGTGAGGTTCAAATGAGAGTACTACTATTTCTATGAAAAAATCTACTTTCCAAACTGCTGCAGCCTTTCCTTCTCAATCATTCACCAATAGAGGCTGTCAAACAGTTGAATGCTCCTAAAGAAGAGAGAAAAAAGAAGCCTAGGTGCTGCATTCTGGTGGAATCATTGTGATGTGTATATTGATTTTTCAGGAACCCTGTTGGTCCAGAGATGCAAGGTAATGGGAGGGGGCACCAGAGAATGATAGACCTGCATGGTCTGCATGTAAGTGAGGCTATTCACGTGCTGAAACATGAACTGAGTGTGCTTAGAAGCACGGCCAGAGCCGCGGAGCAGCGTCTACAGGTTTACATCTGTGTTGGCACCGGCCACCACACCCGGGGCTCGCGCACTCCGGCTAGACTTCCGATAGCTGTACAGCGATATCTACTTGAAGAAGAAGGCCTTGATTTCACCGAACCACAGCCAGGTCTGATTCGGGTGATGATATACTGAACCAGGGAGGTATACAAGTTTCTGACACAGTAAAAATCCATCATGAACACATAGACATTGTTGTAGTCATTCTTGTATCTGTATATGGGAGGAAGTAAGCCAAAAAAAGGAAAAGCAAAAAGGGTTGAAAAAAGGGAGAAAAAGGTTAGAGAAGTAAAGAGATGGGTTGTAGAAGAATTGTAGCATTGAAGGTTTGTGTGAGGCATCTCATCACATTAGTCAGTCAGCAGCAGCAGGGACTATTTCAGCATTACCTTTTGTTAATTTTGTACCCTAATTTTCATTTCTTTGTTAAATTTCTTTTTCATTCAGATATAACGGATAGAACTCAATTACATGATAGAATCACTCTGCCAATTAGATTCAATGCCAATTTATTTACAGCTCAAACTTCAAGCTGGTCTGGTTCACTGTTCAGTCTTGTGATTTTCATGCACATAATACTAACAACATTTGCAGAAGATATGCTGCTTCATACTTCATGTTCTTTAAAATCTGTCTCTCTTTGGAATTATTATAGGAGAACATTTATTCTTTTTTCCTACTTATTATTAGAAAATAAACTATGTATTGACAATGTAAAGTAATTTTATTTTATACTATTGTATGCTAATGCCTATTTTTTGATTGGTTGATGACGAAAATCTCTTATTTCTTCATCATTATTATGCAAGAAAATGGATTATGCACCAGAGTAAAATAATTCTTGTAATATCATTTAAGGATAACTTATCGTCAATAATGAATTTATTGACTTTTTAATAATTACTTTTAAAATTTACACCACCTATTGATTGAAATAAATGTTTTCCTTAGTAAGGATTTTTTTTTTAAACGAAGGCAATTGCTTCATAAAGTACTAGCACGGAATAAAGGAAAATAAAGTAAAATTGATCCATATCTTATTCCGAATCTATACCGAAATATAGAGAGTGTTTTTTCAAAAATTTCACAATTGATTTTGGTAAAACTTTTTGAACTTCGGTAAAAAATTAACTTTTTATCTCTCCTAAACAACTCATACCCCCACTTACCACCATATTGAACAGACATTTAACGAATTTTAAATTTAATTGAAAGTGTCAACAGATCCATTATAACATTCAATTCGCGATGGTTTTGTTTCTATGGAAACTCTAGACAGATTTCGAAAGTTTTATTTTTTATTTTTAGCTTTATAAATGTCTTTTATTTATTTTAAATTAATAAATTAATTTTTTAAAATATTAACTTATTAAACAATATTAAATTAAAATATATTATAATTAAATTTTAAATTAAAAAACAAAAATTTTAAAAATATGTTAAATAGATTTTGGTTAAAACATATGGTAAAGGATTTCAAAATTCGTTTAAAATTTTTTTAATTTTATTTTTTATTTAAAATTTAATAAACATTTAATTTAATTTAGTATATTAAATTAGATTTTAATATGATTTAATATATTAAATTATATTTCGTATTATTATTATTTTTATTTTTCTCTTATTTTTTTTATTTTTAATATTATTTTTAATATTATTTTTATAGTTATTATTTTATTTTTTATTATTACTAATATAATAATGGAAATAATATTCTAATAATTTTTAAATATTAATATATAGTAAATAATATTAAAATATTAAATTAAACTACAAGTTTTGTTAAATTTTAAATAAAAAACAAATTTTAAAAAAGTTTGTTAAAAAAATTTGGAAATTTGTTAATATAGTTTAATGGATTTCGAAATATGTTTAACAATTTGTTTTAAATCTAGTTTTTTTATTAAAAATTTAGTAAATATACAATTTAAGTTAATATTTGATATGATTTAATATATTAAATTATATTTATTATTTTTATTACCATTTTTTATTTTTATTTATTATTATTATTATTATTTTTATTTTTCTAGTTATTATTTTTATTTTTTACATAAATATTATAATAATGGAAATAATATTCTAATAATTATTAATATATTAATATATATATATATATATATATATATTAAATAATATTAAAATAAGAAAAGTTTTGTTAATTTTAAATAAAAAAATATTTAAAAAAGTTTGTTAATTAAATTTCAAAATTTGTTAACGTATAAATTTTTTATAAATTTTGTTTTTTATTTAAATTTTTATGAATATTTTATTTAATTTAATATTTTAATATAATTTTGTATATTAAATTAGATTTCTTCTTCTTCTTATTATTATTATTTTCGTTTTTTATTTTTATTTTTATTTTTATTATTATTATCTTTATTATCTCTAGAATTATTATTTTTGTTTTTATTTTTCTAGTATAAGTATTATAATAATAGAAATAATATTCTAATAATTATTAAAATAATAATATCTATTAAATAGTACTCAAAATATATTAAATATGGAAGTAACCATGTGATGGGAAGTAATGTAAAAATCTGGAAGAAGAATAATATATTAAGGGTTAAATATGTTTTTAGTCGCTAAACTATCAAGCGATTTTGTTTTTAGTCTCTATTTCAAATTAAGTATTTTTTAGTCCTACTCCTTTAGAAAAACATAATTTTTCGTTCTAAAAAACCAATAGCGTTAAAAAGAAGTTGAGCTGGCTAACGGTGGAGTGTCACGTCATCTTTTTTTAACACTGAGTCAATTTGACCCTTACCGTTTGGTCAGTCATCATAATCATTCGGCCACCACCAATATTGTTCGGTCACCACCAATACCGTTCGGTCATTCCGTCATCATAACCATTCGGCCATTACCAATACCGTTCGATCATTAACAAAACCGTTCGGTCACCACCAATATCGTTCGGTCATTCAATCATCATAACCATTCGGCTTTACCAATATTGTTCGGCATTACCGTACGATAAGGGACATATTGACTCAGTGTCAGAAAAAAAAAATGACGTGTCACTCCACCATTAGCCAGCTTCTTTTTAACGCCGTTGATTTTCGAGGACGAAAAATTATGGTTTCCTAAAGGTGAAGGATCAAAAGGTACCTTAGTTTGAAAGAGGAACTAAAAACAAAATCACTTGATAGTTTAGGGACTAAAAACATATTTAACCCATATATTAACTATTTAAAATATTAATTATTTATTGAACACTAAGGGTTAGAGGAATAATACAAGTTTATTGCATCTTGTTTTTCACCATCTATGTAAGCATTGCTATAATATCGTTTACATCTTGTTCACTTGAATAGATTTGAGAAAGAGTGATTGAATGAATTTGAAACGATTTGAAGGTAAACTTTTTGTTGTGTATTTGAGTAGCTTTGGAGATAAGTGAAAATAGATTTGGAAATAAATTTTTTTAGTCTATCATATCAATCAAATCCTATACTAATTCTCACAAACTAACTTTATGGACTTCAAAAACTCTCATTCACCAAAATATATATACATGTACTATAGCATACAGCAGAAGAAGACGGAGACTAGATATTTGTGAAGGAGAATCTCATAAAATATGTCATACAGTATTGTGAGCTGCTGAACCACCTTACTACTGAGCAAGAGCATCCTCATGCTTTGATACATATCCATTAGAGCTGCTTCGATACTACTATCAGGATCCACTTTTGTCACATCAGTCAAACCCATTGCATGGAGCTGGCGTCCTAAAGCTTGAAGACCATATGCATACTGGGCAACATTTGTACGGTCCAAGCAGTCAATGCAGTTGGTACGAAGAACTCCACTCTGAAAATGTGGTGCATCACTAAAATTATCTGTTTTAATCTGATGGTTAGTGTCAGTCTCTTTGTCTCGGTTAACCACATAATTTATCATTTCATTACTGTTCCCAATCCTCACAATATCACCAGAACTAGCTCTCATATCTCTCAGTGAAGCATCCCTAACAAAATAAAGAATTAGTTGATAACATAAATAGAACTTCCATTCTCTAAAGCAACATGTTGCACTTTTACAATTATGATAAAATAAAAATGCAATAGCATCTTGTTGGCTCAGTCCAAATAGACAAACCCAGCCAAAGATTATGCTTAGTAGTAATAGGCTTGAGCTGTTAGTTCTACGGTTCCGTTTGTTATTTGGTCCTAGGCCACACTTCATGCTGTATTGCTCCTGATGTAAGGAATGAGGAACGAAAAACATTTAGTTAGGCGAAGACACAAATATTCTGCATCACATCTCTACCTAGGGATGGCAAAATGGGCTTGGCCCGGAAAGCTTTTTGTACTCGAAGTACAAACAATGAGATAAGGAGAAAATTCTAAAATACTAGACCATGGTGACTCTAATTACTAATCACAAAAACTTTGATGATGACAAATGATTTTATATTAGATCTCTTAACATTTTCAAATTTTTTCATTGGAGCCTCTTCAGGTGCTGTTGCCACCACAATTGCTGTTACATTAACACCATCAAAATAAAACATTCATCGAATTATTTATGTATTTAAGTTTAAATATATGGTAACAACAGAATGTGATTATCTACTGGAGCCCAGGCTTAAAGACCCTTAGAGGAGAGATAACATAGATATATGACTACTGGTATAATCTATTATTTCTTGGGTGGCATTACTACTAAGACCTAGCTTTCCATTGTTATCAGAAATCATCACCATTCATTACAGATTAAGTCCACTTCTCAGTAATCCAAAACTGAAGTGAAACAGACAAAAATGAAAAGACAATCGGAAAGAAACTTCATTTTCAAAGTCCAAAAATAGATAGATCAAAACCTCAAGAAATGCAAGATCAAAACAAGAAAGAATATGAATTTATTCAATAATTTTCATGATTTTCATGGAGACTTCTAGTTCCATGTCTCTTAATTCGGGAAAGTGCATATATTAACAGTGAGGGCTCTAGAGCAGCAGGTGGTCATATCTCATAGCAGAAGTATGAGTCTAAAAGGTAACAGGACCCTGCATTTTTTTTTTCTCATCTTTGCTATTTTATGGAAAACAAAAGGGCTTGGTACCATAAAAAAACAGTATAGCTGAATAATCACTTTATTAGTAAAGAAAACAAGACAATATCATAATGATATCAGTGCCTGCATCAGGAAAGAAAGTACAGAGCTGTAAGACAAATGGAAAGTATCTCTATACAGTTAGAGAGTGTCTAGTCTCCCCCAAATCCCAGCCCAAAACCAGCACCGCCCTCCCCCTACTGTCTTCTCACATCTTATACCCATACAACAGAATCACTTCTTAACTACCATGCCAGCTCGGCAGTTTGTTACATGGAAGGATTCTTCTCATTCTCTCTCCTGCCATTTTTATTCCCCACTTTGCCATTCCTTCTCTTTCTAACATACACCTTAAATATTTTGGGTTTGGGCCTGATTATTTCCGGATTCCTATCAACAATCCCCTTCTCAAGATGCACCTTGTCCTCAAGGTGAAAGTCAGGAAAATTCTCCTTGAACGTAGATAGAACTTCCCACGAATTTTCAAAATCTGGCAATTCCTTCTACCTAATAAGAACTTCGAGATGCCCTTTTGGTTCCTTCTAACAGCAAGCTCTTATGCTGGTTGAACCTTCAATTCCCAATCATCTGCTAGAAATAGAGGTAACAGTTGGCTGGTGATTGTTGTAGACAGCTCATACTAGATAGTCTGTTATCAATTGTTCAATTTGCCTTCAGACATTAAAAAATAAGCTGATAAATGGTTACACATCTATAGAAAAACCACAAACAGATCCTTGCACACCAGTCCCTATCTTCAATTAGAAGAAACACATTAGTCAAACTACATAGGCCTTTTGCCGTACATGCCAGGCTAAAACCTCTTCATAAGACAAGTTTCCTCCAAAAATATCCAAGGCACTACCCACAGTTACATCCACACGCTCCATTCCGGCACTTTTTATCCTCTCTAGATCAGCCATTCCAGTCACACCACCAGCATAGGAAACAGGAATTGGTGAATGTTTGTCAAGCAAGGCAACAAGCTCTTCGTCAATTCCCAACCTCTTCCCTTCAACATCTACACCATGGACCAGAAACTCATCCGCAAAACTAGCCAGAAATTCCATTACACCAGGATCAACAAAAACATTACTGAACTTCTGCCATCTATCAGTGACAATTGCATATTTACCATCCTTTTTTTCTACAACTGAGATCCAACACAAGCCTCTCTTTGCCAACAATTTGAACAAGATCTTTCAGCCTTCCAATATCCATTTGTCCATCATTGAATACATAAGATGTCACAATGACATGGCTCGCTCCCTCTTCTATGAAACTCTAACAATTGTCAGCATTTATCCCCCCTCCAACTTGTAGACCTCCAGGATAAGCATGCAATGCTTCAAAGGCAGAAACTTTGCTCAAAGGGTCTGCACCAAGCATGATGACGTGGCCACCCGTGAGTCCATCTCGTCTGTAAAGAGTAGCATACTCGGCAGCTGACTTATCAGACTCAAAATTGGTCACAGGATCCAACCCATCACCCCCTTTCAAGTCTTGCAAGGTTGACCCCACAATTTGTTTCACTTTTCCCTTGTGGATATCGATGCAGGGACGGAATTGAACCGCGCATTGAATGGAAAGAGGAGATCTTCTACTGGAATGTGAGGAGAGAGTGATAACAGGAAGATTATTGGGACAAAAGATGGGTGAGGTGACGAAAAGCCCGAAGGAATGTGATGCAGAGATATTTTTCATCATTCCTTAAGAAAACTGGGGTCATATCAAATCTTGGATTTATATTATCTTTTTTGCAAAATGTTTTTTCATAACACTCTTAAACCTCTTTTTAATGTTTTTCCAAGTACTTTAGTTCGTATCAGAACTAATTTTACAGGATTAATTCTTAATAGGACTCGAGAAAATAATTATGAAACATGGATAATAATCGTCCTCCTCTATTCAAAGGAGAGAAGTTTGATTATTGAAAACAAAGAATGATCACATTCTTTAAATCATGTCACATTAACATGTGAGACATCGTTGAAAAGGGCAACTACATACCCATTGATAAAGGAGGAGAGTCTCTCACCAAAAATAAATGGACATACGAGTAGAAACAACTATATCTGTTAAACTCTAAAGCTCGCAATTCACTAATGTGTGTACTTTCTAAAGAAGAATATAAAAAAGTCCACTCCTACCAAGGAGCAAAGAAAATGTGAAAGCTTACCGAACACTCTATTACAAAGCGCGTCATGATCGATAAGATAGATGAGACTTTAGGAGGATAGACGACGTAGTAATTAGTTGACCAATTCGACCATCTAGAGATCGTTGGGCGTCATTGTAGACTTTAGCTGACCATTATTCAAAAAATAAGTAGACCGACCAACAACCTTCATTACTATTTTTAGGTAGTTGGTTTTAAACCCCTTAAAGGAAGCATTAAACAACATGAACAACCACCGCCCTTTCTTTGATATAAGGGATACCCATTCCCTGTTGCAATGTGATCGGGTCTAGAAAAAAAGGAAAAAACTAGGTGGAGTGAGAGACATTCAAGGATTTACATATTACTTCGAACGTTTGTATAAAAATCCACTCGTTCAGGTGAAGTTGGGTAGATGCCATGCTAAGTTCTCGAAGAACACCCATTTGAAAACTCGTTAAGGGGTAGCCTAACAGACATATCCTTGAACATGGTGGAATATGTGTAGAAGAAATCCAACGCATAACCTTTCATGCCATGGTTGAAGTGCTCTTCTTGCACACAACAAGGTTGAAGTGCTTAGCATCGGCGCCCTCACCAAGCCCACTTCACTAGCGAACTTCTCCAAGGACTTCTCGGGGATGAAGGAAGACACATAATTCCCAGTCTCGTGAGGAGCCCAGTCATACCCCAAAATGGGCAGGATTGACGCACAACCATCGATCCACTCCTCGATCGCATCCACTGTAATCGTGACTGTCTCACCCTTATTTTCTTCTATGACGTTATTTGTATTTACACAAGCCTCTGCGTAACCCAAATCCATGTCTCGCTCGTTTGATCCAAAGTGGGAAGACTCTAATGGCTATCAACATAACCCTAACCTCCCCTCCCTTTAGACTCCTCAGACAAGTATAACAGAACAATCAACATTATTACCTTTGGGGGAAGAGAAGTGCGAAAATGCTCAGTTCTTTTAAGAAGAGTTGATAGAAGTGGTGAAAATGACATTGAGCCCCACTTCTATTTATAGTCGAAATGGGCGCTCTTGATGGCCGAAATCTTGTAACCTTCATTTCAAGAGATGCACAAATTCCAACAAGTCACGTGTCCTATTCCCATTGACTATGACTCCTCCCAACTATCACATCCCTGGGGATAGCTTCCCAGTTGAACGGTCATGAAGCGACTCCACTATCTCAAAAACGCATGGAAGCCTTCAAAGTGTAAAGCCTTCACACATCTTATGTGTTTGGGCTTGGGGGGGTCTGCGTACTGTATGTCCTTTCGGTACCGGACAATCCCAACAATCAGAGACATCTAGTGAGCCAGTCGGTTCAGTATCGTGAATGAAGCGATCGACCTTAAACAAAAATTAATTTTAAAGACATTTAATTTATCCAAAGCATTATCATTACCATTTGAACCATAATTAGGTCAACACTTATCTGAAGTCTATCCTGAAATATATAAATACATGTTTTATGTATTGTGGTAGGTGTGTTATATTTAATACACAATTATTTTTTATTTTTTAAATCTTTACAAACTTTGGTATTGTAGTACCTTATGCAGGTAACCTTCTATTTTGACTGAACGGAATAAAAGACGACAGGTGACCTACCAAGACCTGAACAAGGAGTTGGACGTACAAAATATAAAAGATGCTCAATTCCGGAAACCGAAACAATGTTAATTAGTTACATGTCATTAAATTAATCATATATTACATTTAATAATGTTTATAATAATTTTAATGTTTATCTAAATATCTTATAATAAATTGAAAACATATAAACATTAAATTCTTTCATATTATAAAAATAAACATTATTATCTTTTATCAAAGGCTGCCAATGTAGCAATATGGAATAAAGAAAATTACATGGAGTTAGAATAGAACAAAACAAAACACTAATATGTTATGACAGTATGGCCAAAGAATCATCTAAAATCACAGAGTTGATCTATAAAACCAATGATGCACAAATGTGATTTCAATGCACGGAAGTGGCTAACTAAATTCAGACTTTCTAGTTCAGAGATCTAATTTTTGCATGTAAACAAATAGAGGTGAAAGGAGGTCTAAGAAAAATAACTACACATATCAGCGATCATAATAACGTGCCGAAATATAAGAAAAAGACTTTGAGGTGGTCATGTTGAAAAGATTTCACTATAGTGAAATAATGCAAGATTACTTTTCCTTGTGATGGAAATAATGTGTAGTAGAGTAACACAAACCATAACAGAGGTTATTTTACCCACTTACCTATATGTTATATGTGTGCTTTAATTTGCCAAAATCATGTAATGTGCAGAAGAATAAAAGAAACACTATTTTTATATAAATCTGTATATATTTATCATGAAGATCTAATGTTAAACAAATATTATACATATTTTTTTGTATATGAGTTCGACCATCCGAGTATTTTAATATATGCATAATAAAAAAACATTATTATTTCAAATAACGTAACTTATATATATATATATATATATATATATATATATATATATATTATTGTTTCAGTCATACGTATATTTGGGACTAAAGTGATTCATAAATTGTTTGGTAGAAAAATAAACTATAAACTAAGCAATTTGATGTTAATTTATCCAATTTTTTTCAAGACCGTCCGTAACTATTTATGTTCTGGATGATAGTTTGAACACCTCTTTTTTAAGATTTTAATAAACTGTATATTTAATAAAATTTGAATTTAGCAAAAATAATCATACCAAGTGCTTACTAATGATTTATCCATAACACATCGTTTAATTTTTTTTTCAATAATAAGATTGTTATTACCATAAAGTGAATATCTTTTAACTGGGCTCTATGTAATGATTCTTTAACTATCATTATTTATGGAAATGAATATATAGAGGATTAAATATAATATCAAATAAACGTTTACTTTAGATGATGATATGATATTCAAGTCAGTAAAAAAAAACTATTAATAAAAAATTAGATGATAATATAATTATTTTAACATAATAATATTAAACTTTTTATATATTAAATATAGTTTTAAATTGAAATACGATAGTATAAATAATTTCAATATCGATCTAAAACATTTGATATGTTACAAAATTTAATTGTTAAAAAGATTATGTATGTTTATTTTTAAAGTTTGAAGAGAAAACTTTATCAAAGTTTGAAAAATAAAAATTTTATTTCATGTTTAAGTTTAGAGACACTAAAGTAAAAATAAATCATGATACTAATTATACTTTATATCATATATGGAAGCCTGTTTAGAAATATGTACGATCAAATTGTAAAATAAATTTGGAACAATTAATTTTAATGTATATAAAGATAAATATACAATTTTCCAAACAACTATTTTTGAGCAATTTGAAGTGCACTAATATAACTCCCTCCACTACGAATTCCAAATCATAATATTTGAACAAAATGAGCAAGATGAGGGGACAATTGCTTCAAATTCATACGATTATTATGTTCACTAATTAAACACAACTAATGCGCATAAAAAACTTATTACTATTTTTTTTCAGTAACTCATTAAGAAATATTAGAAACAAAACATCTCGGGATTTATAGATAACAAGTTCTACAATCATACATGTGATATCAAGCTATTTTATCTCAGAAGGATTTAATTTTATTTTTCTCATAACTGAATTTGGTTATTACATGAAAGAGAAGGTAAATAATATCAATTTTCGTTAAAAAAAAAAAACTTAACAATTACTATTTTCCATCAACAACTGATGTTTATTCACTTTATATATTCATTTAAAACGAGTAACCCTAGAAACAAGATCCAAAAGAACAAGGCAGTGCTTGTTAAATCATCACAACAGAAAGATGGCAACAAAAACTAGGCCACTTTCCATAATATCTATGACATGCTACATATATATAAATATGGTGTTTTTCATATATATTTTTCTTATGAAATGTGATATTTGGTGTATTTGATATTAACTGTATATAGTCACAGCCAAACTATTATAATTAAAAACAGCCACGTAGAAATGGCTACAAAAAAAGTATGATAGAGAGGCTTTGTTTGTTGGTGGTGATGAGTTGCAAGAGGTGAATTCAATCAAAAGTTCCAACTCCAAAGAAAAGAGTGGTTAGAAAAAGCATCATGATCATGATCATCAACTTCAATCTCATCTCCATTGTGAAAGAGTAGTGGAGTGTGTGTTGTGGGGCACAAAAACTCACCCTTCTCTGCTTCAAAATAGAGGCCAAAATCGGAGCCATTCAAGTCATCCAACATGTTCATAAATGTCCAATCCATGGTGTCTTGGTCCACTCGAACATCATTGTTTGTCCCACCATCATAAATAGGAAAGGTCGTGTTTATTTCTGTGTGTGTGGTGTGGTCAGACATAGACTCACTCTGAACTCCAACTTCTCCATCTTCTTCTTCTTCTGCCAAAATCTCCACCACCTTGTTCGCAAACTTGGCCGCCACCTCCTGGATCTCTTGGTGGCTGCAGGGTATCTTGAGCGACTCCATTTCGAAGCGATGAGGCGTGTCGGGGAAGTTGAAACTGGCACCCTTCCCACGCAGGCAATAGAGAGCAGCATCAAAGGCTCTTGCTGCCTTCACTTGCGTGTCGTAAGAGCCCAACCATATACGCTCACGGCTGTTTGGAAGCCGAATTTCAGACACCCATTTCCCCCATTTTCTCTTCCTCACTCCTTTGTACATCTTGCAGGCGGCACTGGAATTGTTGGTGGAGAATGAGTCATTGCAAGAAGTGGGAGAAGAAGAGGAAGAAGAAGAAGAATCAACTCTGGTAATGGCCGGTTTCACCATGTGTACTATACTAGGGTGCTTGTTTTGTTTATTGGTTATGTTGTGATGATTAAGTTTTGAGGGAAATTGACGGCGGAAGGGTTTATATAGGGAGGAAGAGTGGTGAAGGTTTGAAGGCTAAACGTGTTTATCAAAGGAGCGTACAATGAGTGTAGGCACGTGGCTGAATGATATCGTGAACTCAGTCCCATATGATATTTGTATTTTTCAACAACAAGAAACACCACGTGTGGAAATTATTGGCCTCAACTTCATAAAATAATCTGTGTAAATATATTATGTACCATACAAAATTACAAATACATTTTTTATTTTAAATTTTTAGTTTTCAAAAGTAAATCTAGTAATTTCTATTATCAGAAATTTTTGTTTTTTTCTGTGTTTTGGTTTTAAAACTCAGAAGCAATGTAATATAATATTTGCACCTCCATTTTCTCTTGCAACTCTTTATATATATATATATA